CTTGTCGTGCCCGTTGCTCTCCTATCACGCACAACCCGTCACTTCACAATGAGCAGCTGCTTGGACTCAGAGGCACAGTTCGTAGCGATAAGTGACTCTTCCTTCTTCCCTTCTCTTCTCCTTATTTTTCTCCTTCATCTTCTTTCTCCTGCTCACGCGCTTTCTTCTCTCTCATGTACGGCCATCTCCATTCCTCCCTGTGTTCCATTTCTGGCCCCGCTTTTCTTCCCGCTTTTCCCCACGTTCTCCTCCCGCCTCTCGTTTTTGACTTCCCTTTCTCTCTCTGTCCTACTTACACACACGCGCACGCAGGCACACACACGGGTAGTAGTGTATATTTTCATGTTCTAGCGGTAGATTCATTGGATTTTGTTCATTCTGTCAATGGCAGTAGCGTGAGGTCAGTTGCGGGGTAGGTGCACACATACACACGATTATAGTGTATACTTCCATGATGTAGCGCTAGATTCATTCGATTTTGTTCATCCTATCTATGAAAAACTCTCTCTCTCTCTCTCTTTTACACACTCACACACACACACACACATAACACACGTAGCACTGTATATTTCCTAGTTCTAGCGTTAGATTCACTCGCTTTACTCATCCTATCGATGGAAGTATGTAGACTGTTGCGACTGTCAACTTACTTGTCGAGACGATCCATCGTGTTGCGCAGCATACAGAAACATTCAACATGGGGACATGACAAGCACAAACGGCCATTCCAACATGTCAAGCGATGACGAGTCTGACCTCGCGATGTTGTCGACGGATTCATCATGTCGGCAAGTCTTCACCCTCGCAATGGTAAGCAGCGGATGCAAGGCCTAGGCACCTGCACCACCGCATCCTCCACTTGTACACCCGGATCGTCGCCATCATCGACTGCAAAGGGAGATAAGTCTCTTCTTCTTCTTCTTTCTTCTTCTTCTTCTTCTTCTTCTTCTTCTTCTTCTTCTTCTTCTTCTTCTCCTCCTCCTCCTCCTCCTCCTCCTCCTTCTTCGTTCATTCCCTTTCTCCTCCTTCTTCACGGCATTCTCCTCTTCCCTCTGGCGTTTCTCCTTTTCCCACTGTTCGCCATATCGATGCTACATCCACGCAATTTTTCCGCTGCTCCTCGTACGCCATCTAACTCTCATCTACCTTTCTTCATCATAATTCTCAGAAATTTTCTATTCTTCCACTCATATCTTAGGAATTTGAGTTCCTAAAATTCTTGAGGCTCGTTTTTTCTTTTCTCCACTATTAATTTCTGGTTCCCCTTTGGACGTTTTAATGAATTATTTTTGTGTGGGTGGGGGGTGGGGGGTTGGGGTTTAAAGGAGGAGAGCTCCACTCCGCAGGGGCTTCACAAGGTGGGGGGTGAAATGCCCTGGAGGGAGTGGGGGCAGATTTTTTGGGGTTGCCCTATTCTGGGGCTGGGAGAGATAATATCATCATCATCACAGTATCACGTCAAGCCAAGCCAACTCAAAGAGCAAACTAGACGAGACAGGTGTGAGCGTAAAAAACAGAATTCCTTACGGCACCCAATCAACAGTCCGCATACCCAAGAAACCGTCGATCGTACCACGAACCCGTCCCACCGCCGCTATAAGCGGTGGCGGGCGCACCGTGAGAGGAGCTCCGAAATCATTCTCACACTACTTATAGTTCAGTGACAAAAGGATATGCACCCGGTACAGGCCTACGGCGTCCCGTTCCGGGGCAAAGGACTCACACGCTAATTCCACCTATCAGTTATTACGCAGACCTATAGTTGCACCTAGTCATCCAACCCGGTACCAGAGACAACTAGTGTTGCTCCAAACATCCGACGAGAGTACGAGCCGTCAGCCCCTATACCGGCCTGAATCTAACAATCATAGGTCAAAACAAAACACGTCTACATAAGCAAACTGCCATCAGAGCCAAAGACAGACGAACACCAAACAGACGAACCTTCAACCCCTATACTGGCCTAAATCTAACAATCACAGGTCAAACAAAACCCGTCTACTTAAGCAAAAATGCTATCAGAGCCAAACAAACGAACACGAAAACAGAAGAACAAAACACAACAAAACACGTCTGTACTGCCATTGTGGTCCTACACCCTGTCCAAACATAGCTACTAATCGTCAAAACGGGTGCTTACCCATGACCCTGACCCTGTCTGACTGTTTCTCCTCAATCACCACCCAGTCAGGAAATCTATAGTCTGTTTCCACACGGCGTCCCTTCTGAACGCAAACCTTCGCAGGATCCTATCGAAAAAACTTGTTGGAACATCTTTCAGTCTAAGTTCACGTTTTAGTGACAACACTCGACCCGGGATTTCGCTCCGGATGGAGGTGTTCCGATCAATACGGTGCAGATAGCTGGTGATAGCCGCGCTCTTCTGTTGTTTGCTACCCCAAGAAAGGAAAAACTGACCATTCTGAAACTCCGGCTCCCCCGTCGTCCATATGCTCTCCTCGTTCCGAGACATCTGTATGCAGCTCAGGTATGGGTACACCTTTACATATCTCACTTCACATCCAAGGAAATCTAGGAATCCGCTACCATGGTCCGTTCTCTTCAAGCAAAGGTTGCGAGGGTAGCACTCCTTGAATCGCTGTGATACCCAACTCAGAGACTCTCCTGCCAATGAGGCAACGATCAGGATCACATCGTCCATTAATCTGACGCCAAACACCAAACACCCCAATCGACCCAAACTGTGCATATACTGTGTATCTGCGTAAGCGCATAAAATGCATGTCAGGGGAGGGCTCCTGCTCTTCCCCATTGGAATACCCACATTCTGCCTAAGTAGGACTATGGTAGCGACAGTGTATGTATGTCGCATGTCAATCTTGATAAAATTCCTCAGTTCTTCGAAGTCCACCTTCCTCAAGTGGTCTACCCCCGTTGTCAACCCGAATGATGTTCCTCGCCCTCTAGTATTTACTCGAACAAAGGTCCTACCTTTCTTCGTATGATGACTCAGTATCCATTCGACTGCACGCAGGATGTCCCCGTGGGGCAACCGAGAGAACATGTCTTTAATGTCGTAAGACTGTGCCGTGATCCCATCCAAACGCCCGAGTCGCTTAATTCTACCATTGATGTTATCCAATCGTGATGTCAATTGGGATACTGTAGGGAGGTTAAAGTGACTTTCGGCAGGCATTCTGGATAACAAAAAATTTAGACCTCGAGCCACGGCCCTGCTGGTGCGGACCATTGGTTCGCAGAAGGTAGGACAGATGGGGCGAAATCTAGCTAAATCTTTATGTTTCGGAATGACATATGCGGCCCCCAACTTGCCCTTATTATCCCAACGGACAAACTTATGCAAACCCGCCTCCCTCATGTCTTCCCTTACCTCCCGAAGCACCACTGATTCAGACACAGGCATGACAGTGTATCCCGTGCTCCTAACAAACGTATCCACCATTGCTTCGTAGTAAGTTTTCGGACACATGACTACGGTCTCACCCTCATTTCGATCCAATGGAGTGAGCACCAGTCCCTCAAATTGCCTCCTCAAGTTCTCCACCTCATGAACATACAAAACTGAGTCCTTGACCTCACTATTATCATGCATGCATACTACTAAGCTCTCCGAGGATACGCTTAGCTTACCACCTGGAAAGTTTCTCCAGTTCCTAAAACCTTGTTCAAATTCCACCCTTAGGCGATGTAGCCGATCTGACATTTGTGAACGTGGGATGTTATTTGCATTAGCTAATAGAGGGTGATTAACCACTTCCTTCCTCAAACGAAACAGCACGTGTCCATCCACTCGGGGATAGGGTAGGCATGTGCATTGACAGGTCAGCACACTGCGGGATGCAAACTTCCGATGATTGTGCAGGATCTTGCCGACGGTCCGGTTCTTTTTCCAGACTATACGAGTCTTCTTCCGTGCTCTACGCAAGAAGCAGGTGGGTAAGTCACAGTTACCCAGGGTGTCATTAACTACCTTACGCAATTCACATAAACTGATCCTATCGTCAAACAAGACTTTGACCAAAAGATCCGCGCTTAAACTCAGATTGAACTTGTCGAGGAACACACGCGAGACCATTCGTCTCAAATATTTCCTGGTTGACTTTTTTGAAAAGTCCTTAATAGAATTGTACAAGCGTAACATCGATGGCATATCCCAATCATAGATCTTGCCGATATCCCTAGGACATTTCAAAAAAGAAACCAAGTAACATTTCAAAAATCCACACTATGGTTTCCATTCGACAGCGTACTCCACCACGATACATCCCCCCTTCTCAAACCATAATTTACAATGTTTCAACAGGCTGGTCTCATATCCCCTCGATAGCTTAGTAGCTTCAAACCTTCTAGAGATCACTTTCCACGCTGTCTGCCAAGTATTACCACCACTGGTGTAGATCTTAAAGTTGTAGACCCTTCTAGACACCTTTTCCTTCAATACCGCAAACAGATCCAATTGCCAATCGTCTTGCACGTTAGTTATGAAACGAACGGGTGCTACGACACGTTGTTTATCTTGTCCATGACCCCTCTTACGACTTCTTTCCTTCTTTCCCAATAACTTCCCTTTCCCAGTGCGACGTTTTCCTGATCGGACACCTGATGTATTCAAGTGCGGAGACCACTGACGTATGTACATGCTCTCGAGCTTAGTCAGCTCATCTTTGCCTATCGTATCAATCGGTATCAACACGTAATTCTCAGTGCCAAAGGATCCCAACCATCTGTAAAAATGAGTCGGTGTCCGCTTCCGACTTGCATACAAATATTCCCGTCAGCGGACATTTAAGTGTCTAGATGCTTTACCGACATATTGTGACTTGCAGTATGGGGACACCGCTACATACACGCTAGAGGTCAGATTAACAAATTATGTGCCAAACAAATCGAACAAGCGTATCCATGCTACAACGCACTTGCGTGTCCAACGTAGAACTTCACACAGCGACAAGTCAACTAACGCTAGTCAAAGCAGTTCCTCGATTTCGTAGTCTATCCCATCGAGTAATCCACGAATCGTAGTAAGGCAGTTCACTATACCCCACAAATCAGCAATATTGAGGCCACATCACACGCCTGTAGCTTCGTCCTCGGCATCGACACTTACCTCATTGTCTTCCTCGCCAGATGAGTGTTCATCCTCATCATCTTCTGCCCCATAGGCGACCTGTGTACGGTGCGCCGCGATGTCGCAAAACGATTCGAATTTGCCATTATACGGAATCCCTTCGTCTTTGCAAATATTTTGCAACACCAAAGCGCCTAAGTTTTTCAGATCGTTCATAACCTTCTTCTCAAATCGCAATCTCCCGACAAGTCCCATGTCTGCCGGCTTCTTCTTTCGAATTGAAGGCGGTGTCTTCTTCGGAGTGGGGGTCTTCATCGTCTTGCATCGGGCTCTCGTCAATCTCCCAGTCCGCCGAGGAGTACGTTTARGAGGTAGCTCCATAGGAGGGCTACCCTCCAAAATCGTTTCCGGCCCTCTCTTCCGCTTCTCTGCGAGGCTGGGGTTCCGTGTACGTAGGTTGAGCTCTTCAGTTTCGCTGCTATTAGCGCTGCTCTCCGCTACGGCCTCCATTTGAGGTACCTGTTGTTTGCCACGTTCCACCACCGTGCACAACTCTCCAATAGCCTCACGAATCTCTTGCCGCACATCGTCACGAACTTCGTCTCGAAGTTCTCCCACACGTAGCGCCATTTTGATTTCCAAGCACTTCCGTATCTCCTCCTTCCTTTCCGCCTCCTTACGTGCTTTGTGCTCCTTCTTCTTCCTTTTCTGTTCAGCTTCTTCTTGCTCGGTTGCTGCACGCTCCTCCGCTGCCTTCTTCTCAGCCTTCCTCCGTTCCTTCACCAGCTTCTTCTGCTGTTCCAATTCGACATAGTGACAGACCGCGGCTACGCTCTTACCAATTTCAACCACCTTCAACAGAAAAAATGTGCTAAATTTTTTGCCACGTTGGACCTATGTTTACACCACATTTCAACTGTTTATAAACTTCTGGCCGGGGGAGGGGATGTATGTTCAACACAAAATGAAGGAAACCAACACTGGCCGTATATTGGGGACACTGAAACTTGTGTGTTCAACTGTTGGACAAACTGTTGAAAAACAGTTGGTCCAACTGTTGATCCATTGTTGGTGGCTTGTTGAAATGTTGTTGAAAGTTGTTGGAATGTTGTTGAAACTTTGTTGAAATGTGTTGAACCGTGTTGAAACTGTGTTGGAATTTGTTGAAGCAGGGTATTGGACCGTATGCACTAGCAGTTTCTACACAGGTCATTTGCGTTGTCCGGGGGTGGGTTGTGATTGTGTTTTCCTCGTTTTGTGGTGAGCACGTTTTGGAGTACGAAGATCACATGGGCGAGCGTTGGGTGTGCGCGCGCCACCTGGCACGTGATGATTGCACTGACTGATGGAATTAAGGGATAAGAGACTGATGATGAGAGAGAGAGAGAGAAAGAGAGAGAGAGAGAGAGAGAGAGAGAGAGAGAGAGAGAGAGAGAGAGAGAGAGAGAGAGAGATGTTGCAGGCTGTTGACGACCACATTTCGGACCACGTACAAACAAGGTTGACTTTCGTTGTCCGACGGCGGTGCACATTTTGATAAAATGCTGGGGGGGCCCTCGTACAAACAAGGTTGGCTACTGCGGGCCGAAACTTGTCGAACACGTCGGTGTCCGACAMAATTTGGCACGCAGTAGCCAACCTTCCTTTTCTTTGTCCCTGAGATTGCTGTGTCCCGTTCTATATAAAACGATTTGGCGTGAGGAGCCGAGGTCCGCGTCACCCTGCCCTGCAACGAACAATTCTCACCACCAGAACGAGTAAATTTTTGGACTTATCCTCTCACTTGTACGGAGCAGACGTGGGAGACCGTCGATTAAATGTTGGGCTGCCCTCGTACAAACAAGGTTGACTAGTGGGGGCCGCAAGTTGTCCAACAACGCAGGGTCCGTCGCATTTTGGCACGCAGTAGCCAACCTTCCTTTTCTGTGCCCCTAAGATCGCTGTGTCCCATTCTATATAAGGCGATTTGGCGTGGGGAGCCTCATTTTACGTCGCCCTGCCCTGCAACAAACAAGTTTCACCACAGCTTGACCACATTGTCGTGTCATGTTACCATTAGAGAGTCAGCCGCACACACCACTCAATCGCACAAAGATGAGGAATACAAATGTTTGTACAATTGTGTATCATAAATAACAGAAGTTGT